TAATAATAATAATAATAATAATAATAATAATAATAATAATAATAATAACACGGATGTACGACTCACGCGATCGTTACGAAATTTTTTTTCTTCCAAGTCCACCGCACTTTTGTCTTCTAATACTTTTTTAACACGCGTATGAATTACACGTATACCACATACAAACACACATACACATATATATATATATACATATTTCTATGGTTTAAGTGTAATATAATAAATTTATTGTACGCAACGCGCGTATAAAAGGGGGGAAGTTTCTTTTTTTTTTAATCAACGATATTTCACACTTCGTAATAAATTTGATTTAATTTTCTTTTTTTTGTTTTGTTTCGTTAGAAAACTTCTTTTTTTTTTTCTTCTTTTTTTTCAAGTAAATTTTAAATTATGCAAGTTTTGTGTAACTATGATGATATATTATAGGGTATATATCTATCCTGTATAATTATGTAAATATGTACACGTGTATATGTGTGTTTATGAGTGTCAGTAATTATGAAAGTGGGTTCTCTAAGTAAAAATTAATCAATTAAAAAAATAAAACTAATTTTTAATATATAAACATTATTTTATATTATATATAAAAAATAATATTCTTTAATTGATTTTCAATTTAATCATTCATTTTAATATTATGAATTAATTTAACAATATTTCAATTTAATTCACTTAGAAAATTACCACACATCATGTAAAAAGGTATAATATATTCATATATATATATATATATATATATATATATATTTTTTATTACCAATTTCAAAGAATTATCTGGACAAAAAAAAAGATGAGAGAGAGAGAATAAGATCTTTGATCATTATCACGTGTGCTCGAGATTCTTATGTCGTGACTAATTTACATTTACACACGTATACACGGATATATATTTTATCTTTATAAATATAAATGTATATATATATATATATATATATATACACGTTAAACTTTAGCGATGTAATAAAAGCTACTAATTTTATTTATGAGTCATTTCTGTCTTCTAACTCTTTTTCTCTCTCTCTCTCTCTCTCTCTCTCTCTCTCTCTCTCTCTCTTTCTATCTCGTGTAAGTTCTTTCATAGTAGTTCCTCTTAGTTATTTTCTTTTTTTATATCTTTTTTTTTTATTCTATATACGAGATACGTATCTCACGGAAAAATGAATCATCGCGAGTTAGGTTAGTTTAAAAAAAAAAAATTTGTTATTTTGATTAAAAGAATAAAATATATATAATTCAATATATATATTATATAAAATTAAATTAATAAAATTGAAATTAAGAAAAGAAAAAATATAAAACAAACTCATTATAATATCTATATTAGGTGTATAGCTTTGTTTCGGTTATTTTCCTACAGATGGCTTATAGGAAAAATGGCGGAAGCATAGTTCTATATTTATTATATTATATTATTTTATTTATTTATTTTTATAATATGCTATATTTATTATATATATATAATAATAATAATAATAAAATTGAATTTAAGAAAAGAAAAAATATAAAACAAACTGAGATTAATTATATATTACGTATCCGACTTTGTTTCCCCTATTTTCCTACAGATGGCTTATAGAAAAAATGGCGGAAACAAAGTTCTACACCTATATTATATTATTATATAATATAATATATATATATATAAATAAAATAATATTAATAAAATAGAATTAAAAAAAAAAAAAAGAAAAGAAAAGGAACAAAAATAAAAAACAAATTGAAGTAAAAAATAGTTTCGAAGACGAATGATTTTACGAGATATATATAATCGACAAACGGTTAAATAATTCTACCGACAAAGCAATGTCAGATTATGATAAAAAGAAAGAGAAATAGAAAAAATGAGAGAAAGAGAGAGAGAAACAAAAGTACAAAGCGCACTTTCTTTCATTGAAACATCCTTGAAAGTCCGGAAAATTCCATTAAAATGAAAATGGAAGCGGCTACAATTCTCGTTTCTCCATCCTATTCTTTTTTTCCTCCTCTTCTTTCTTTCTTTTTTTTTTTATATACATATATATTCTTTCTCTCTCTCTCTCTCTCTCTCTCTCTTCCTATATTTATTTCTCTTTTTGCAAACGTTTCGTTCTCATTTTCTTCCAACTCGGTTGGGACAAACGTATTCGTTTCTGTCGGTACAAATACAGTCGTTTCCTTGCTTATTCTAACGAAAATAAATATAAAGAAGAAAAAAAAAAAATAAAAAGAATGAGAAAGAGAAAGAGGGAGAGAGAAAGAGAGAGAAAAAAGCAGGGATTTTAAAAAACAAAATCACTGTATTTTATTGCAACACCTATATCTTTTAACACGACGTGTTTTTTTTTTTTTTTTTTTCCCCTACTACTCGAACAGTTTGAACGGAAATGAGAAAATTAGAAAAAGTAAAATGGATGTTCACATATACATATTTATATTATGAATTAAATAATATAATATAATTAATATAATTTATAATATATATAGGTTATTAGTTATGAAATATCTGATTACTCGGATTATTTTTATCTCGAAATCAGACATTTCATATTTAATGACCTAATATTATAAATAAATAAAATAAAATAAATAAATAAATATTAAAAATATATATATATATTATAAAATAAATAATATATAATATGATTAATATAGTTATATAAATAAAGTAAATAATATAACATATAATATAATATAATTAATATGAATTATAATAAATAATTAATTTATTCTTATATACACACCACTAATACGTATATAAAAAAAGATTCAATAGATGATGATGATGATGATTATAATTATGATGATTATTATTATAATTATTATGATGACGTAAGTTACAACCTATGACGATAGGGACGTCATTCCTCGGGTGATAGGGACGACTCGAAAGTAGGCCAATAAAAGATCCATTATTCAGTGTTAATAACGCATACTTACGTATATAACCAATGAAACGAGATAAATCATAAAATCTTACTTTCTTATTTTTCTTTTCTTTTTAATCTTTTTTTTTTTTCTCTCTTCAATCCAAACGATACATTCCTTCTGCTTATATCATCGTAATAACCAATAACAACAACATTAATAATAATAATAATAATAATCATCATCATCATCTGATGATGATGATTGAGAATCATATTTGTCATCATCATAATACATTGAATTATTATTATCATGATTATTATCTTATATGTATCACATATTGAATATAAAAAATAATCTTATTAATTATCTCTTTCTATTTCATGTAAAAGATCTCACAGAAGATAAAAGTAAGAGAGAAAGAGAGAGAGTGAGAGAGAAAAAACTTGTGTATTTTCTAAAAACGATTTTCTTTTTCACTTTCTATCTATCTATCTATCTATCTATCTATCTATCTATCTATCTCTTTTCTTTTTATAGTCTTTTCATTTTATCTTTTGGTAGACGCTTAACAACGACATTAACTTCTTTCGTAGACATTTGGGACGTCCCATAAAGTAAATTGACAGAGAATACTCTATGTGTGTGTGTGTGTGTGTGTGTGTGTAGAAATACGCGAGAAACGAAATTTTTTGGGCGTTTGAATTGATAGAAAGCAAAAAAAAACAAACAAGATAAAAGAAAAATAAATAAATAAATAAATAAAGAACTAGAGATAGAAAAGAATAAAGAAGAAGAGAATCAGAGGGAGGGAGGAATGGAACTGAGTATGGGGTTGTGATGGTGGTAAAAGTTGGTAGTAGTAATAGTAGTGGTGGTGATGGATGTGGTAAATGTGGTGGGTCTTGGTGGTTCTGTTGGTGGTGGTAGAGAATCTAGAGAGTAGTAGACGAATAGAAGGGGTGAAGAAGGGGGTAGGTTGGTGGTGATGGTGGTGGTGGTGGTGGTGGTGGAAGCACGGGTTTCACGTTCGATCGATAGGCAGAGGCACAGAGAGAGAAAGAGAGAGAAAGAGAGAGAGAGAGGCAGCTTCCTTCAAAGGAAAATTCCTCACGCTATTAAATCCAATTTAAAAACTTTTATTCCCTCCCCCATTCGTTCCTCCTACTCCTCCTCCTCTACCTCCATCTCTACCTCTTTCTCCTCATCTTCCATCCTTCTCTTTCCACCTCCCACAACTACCTCTTCTTCTCTCCGACGGCAAATTTATTTTCCTTCGCTCCCCTTTGTGAAAGGGAATAAATTGCTAAAAGGATTTCGAACAATATAACGCTATCTATCATCCAAGCCCAAGAGAGAAAGAGAGAGAGAGAGAGAGAGAGAGAGGGGAAGATGGAGAAAGAGAGAGGGTTGGGTGGATGAGTAGAGAAAGAGAAAGAACGAGAAGGGGGTAGTGGGGTGGTAGGTAGGAGGGTGGGTTAGGGTAGGATTCTTTGATTCTGCTTTAGCATTCTTTCCTTCTCTTTCTCTCACTCACTCACTCACTCACTTTGTATCTCTGTCTCTATCCATCTATCTATCTCTTTTTCATTTTCTTTCTCTTTCCTCTTCCCTCCCCCTTTCTTCCCCATCACTATCTTTCTATATATATCTATATATATCTATATATATATATATGTATATATCTCTTTACACTCTTTCCCCTCGTTTCTTCTCATTTTCATCTCTACCTCAATCTCTTCGGGGGGTTTAGTTTTTTTTTTTTCTTTCTTTTTCTTTTTCTTTTTACTCTCTTATTCTTTTTTTTTTTCCCCCTCACTTTTTTTTCATTTTACCCTTCCTAGACGAGAAACAAAGAATGAAAGAGAGGGAAGAGAATGTGTGCGATTGTTTGAATCATTAAACTGTAGTAGTAGAAATATCTCATTCTTGGTGCAATGAATTTGAATTTAATTGTACGTAATTTTTTTTTTTTTTTTTTAATTATTATTATTATTATTATTTTATGTATTCTATTTTGTTTTTTACTATGTACATACTTTATGAATAATATATATATATATAGATATATGTGTAAGTTTTATAAGTAATGGTAATGGAAGTATAATGATATTAGAAATTAATGTTATTTTTGTTTATTTGATTATGTTCAATAGACATTTCACACGCCAAGTTTTGGAGATGAGGTTTTTGATATACCACCTATACACCCTCATCCACATCAACAACATCAACCGCAACAACAGCAACAACAGCAGCCTCAACAACAACAGCCTCAACATCATCAACAACATGATCCTATGCATGGATATCAATCACAGGTAAACATTTTTATATTTTATATTTTATTTTCTATTTTTTTTTTTTTTTTTTTATATCCAACTAAATTATTATATATTGTATCCATCTGTCTCATTTTTTTTAAAATAATTAATAATAAAAAAAAAGAAATATTTATTGAAATTTAATTCAATTAAAATTCAAATTCAAATTTGGAATTTTAATTTAAAGTTAATGAAAGATCTTAAGAATTTATTTTTTATTAATTTATTTATATCTTTGTTTTATAGTTTTTTTTTGTTTTCATATTTTATAATTAATAATAAGGAAAGGAAAAAAAATAACAATTAATTGAAATTTAATATAAATTAAAATTAAAATTTAGAATTTAAATTTATAATAATAATAATAATATTAATAATTTAATATAAATTAAATTGAATATAAATATATTAATAGATTTAATATTAATAATAATATTAAATAAATTTCTTATCTTTCGTTATCAATTTATCTATACCTTTGTTTCACAGTTTTTTTTTTCTATTTTATAATTAATAATAAAAATACGAAAAATACAAATTTATTGAAATTTAATTAAATTAAAAATAAAAATTTAGAATTTAAATTAAAAATTTTAAAAATCAATTCTTTATCTTTCATTCATAGTTTTTTGTTTTTCCTATTTTGTAATTATATAAATTTTAATTTTATAATAATTTATATTTTATAATTAATAATAAGTACATGAACAGTACAAATTAATTTAAATTCAATTCAATTAAAATTCAAATGTAAATTTAAACAAATCAATTCTTTATCCTTCGTTATAAATTAATATTAATAATTATAATAATAATAATTTTCTTTATATCTATCTACAATAATTTATCTATCCATCTTATATGTTTTTCTTCTTGTTTTGTGTGGAATTCGTTGTTACCTTAATTAGGCTTGCAATGTAGTTTGTTGTTAGTGGTAGTAGTGTATACATGCGTAAACCTTGTCCGTAAATTTATGAGAGACGTTTTACGAGTAACCGTGCATGTCATTAATAAGACAGCATTCACCGGATAAAGTGCAACGTGACGGATAGAAGACGGGGCTGGGAGTGGGGTGGGGTGGGGTAGGGTGATGGGGGAGTGTGGGGTGGTGGAGAGTTGGGGAGGAAGGAAAGCAGGCATTCTATAAATTATTATAAAGCATTATGCACTGCTTTTGCCTCCTTATCGTGATTTATAGCTCTTTCTGGATGGAGTTACGACGATAAAGAAATTCTATATGTATAAGTAATACACCAAGTGTATATATATATATATATATATATATATATATAT